CAGTACTTTTACTTTTAATACTTAAGTAGATTTTGTGTCATAAATTTACTTTTGATACTTAAGTACAAAAAAAATCAGGTACTTTAAGACTTTTACTCAAGTAATATGTTTAGAGACGACTTTAACTTTTACCAAAGTATTTTTTATAAGATGCTTGTACTTTTACTCAAGTATCACTTTGAGGTACTTTATACAACACTGGTAGTAACAGTTTTTTTTGGTGAAAATTATACATATTTCTGATGGTCGAGGTGCAGGTAAACATCCAAAGGGACATGTATGAGCAGCATCGTGACGTCAGACTGTTGTGGCTGTGTATGGTTCTTCCACATGCTACTTAGACTCCTGTTACTTAAATGTCAAAATTGTAAATTRCTAATATGTCTGCTTTCTTCATACGTCTATCATACAATCCAATAAACAGCACCAAACAAGAGTCAAAATCTAACAACAAACTGCAATCTAACAAAAACCATCTATAATAGTAATTTTTATGGTATAAAGTTGTTAAAATAAACCCTAAAAGAAACTACAACACTGTGAGATGGAATAATAAAATGGTGGTTTTCCTGATTGATAAGGCAGCTCTGATCACAATGTTTTCCTCCAAACACAGACCAGGATGGTTTCATCGTGCTGACCCCGCCTCTGGTAGATGCAGGGGCGCCTCCATGTGACGCTGGGGCTGGAACCAAAAATCCAGTATGGCGGAATCTGTCAGGAGATGAATTCTTCTCGTGCCCCYTCTGCGCTGAGAGAAAAAGAGAAAAGCACCACCTCAACAAGGAGTAATATGGAGTCATAAAAAAGCAGAGAGGAGACGACACATGTTTGGGACCTCCTCCCGGCCCGGGTAGGTGAGCTCGCTGGTGCGTTTGGGTCCGATCCGGATGAATGTGTTTCTGTCGCTTTTTGATGTTATGGGATGCGATCCTGTCTCTTCTGTCGGGATCATCAAAAACAATGTCCGGCTGAAGTTTACGCTGCGCTTTCGCTTTCCGGGCTGCATTCGAACCAGGTCCGAACCTCACTTGAAAGCGGTAAGAGGAGTTTCACGTCTTGAAATACGCCAAAGAGCGAATTTCGGTTCGGTTCGTTGCTGTGTTGCGGGCGGGAAGTCAGTGAGTGTGTGTAGGCAACAAGAAGGGGGGGACGGGCGGTGTTTATTATGCCGATTGTTGCTGAGCTATTTTTAGAGCTCGGCCCAGCCTTTAGGCTCAYAGACATCTGAACAAGTTCTCCTTTCCAACGTGTTGGTGAAAAGGGTGTAAAGTGAAGGTTCGGGCCCGTGTATTTCTGTGTGTTTCAGTGAATGGTTCGGGATGGGCGGTGGTAATTCTCTGCGTCAATCCCTTTTTTTTTTTTTTTTTTTTTTTTTTTTTTTTTTTTTTTTTTTTTTTTTTTTTTTTTTTTTTT